TGACAAGCTTGCTGCAACGCGTGGAAAAGAGCCTGTGACTGAGTTTGAACATAAGACTGACCAGGTCTTGGACCAGATGGCTCTTTTTTCCCAACTCCTGGCTGCGACTGCTCCGTAGAGAAGCTATTTCTAGTAGCTATGCTGGAGGGCAAAGGGTCAAAGGAACCACCCCAAAGCGGGAGGGAACTCCTTGAAGAACCCTTAGGCAAACTCAGCTTTGCTAACAACCTTGCGACTTCCTTGACATGTTTTGCTCATCTTCGAAGCTGCCAAGGCCGCGAAGAGCTGGCCCAGAGGGAGGCCAATGAGCAAAGGGAGCGGATCGACCGGAGCGAGGCTGTGGCGGCGCCGAGTGAGCCAAGATCCAAGTGGCCTGGATTGTTTCCAAGTTGAATGAGTTGTGGCAACGCAGCATGGGAACGCAAGTGTCTTTGTCCCTGCTCCTGCTCCTTTTTGCCGTCCGAGTTATGAATGTGAGCATTGATCATGAAACGATAATGAAACCCTTTATGATCTATCAGTTTTCACATGTGACTTGTGCTTTGGGCTATCACCTCCACAGAGACCAAACAGATCCAAACAGCGAGAAAAGCCATTGTTGACTAGTTGGCCGCTGTGGGCGTGTAAAATGGATACACAAGGTCCCTCTCTGTTTTCTCAACACGCAGTATTTCAGTTCATGCCATCTCATCTCATCCCTAACTTATGGCACTTCATTGGCCTAGATGGCTTGAGCATACTTGATCAAGTCATCACAGCTTGTGAGAGGAGACTTGAGTCCCTCGAAGACATGTGCATCAGATGTTTAGGCTTTGCAAATCGCATTTTCACTCCCACTTTGCCACTCCTTAATTCTTGGCTTATATAGTGCCCCCAGCTTGCATATTCTGGTCCATGGGTGACGTTATTGGCCTACCTTGTGATGAGGCAGCTGGAGTGCATTTTTGCAAAGTTTTGTCTGACAGCCTGACAGCCTCAAGTTCATGTTGCCAGGGGCAGCAGAGCAATGCAGAGTTGGTGCAGAGGTTGCCGCCTAGGTGCGTGGTTCACCGAGCATGCCCACGGGGCGATGCAAGCCATTGTTCGAACTCGCGAACTCGCTAGGCAAGCTCAGCCCATGGAGAGCAACAGCAGCGCCTCACAGGTGGTGTGTATGGTTGGGCTTTTGCTTTGCATCCGATGCATTTCCTCGGCCAGCGTTGGGCAGAAGCCAACGCTGTGACACAACAAAATTCAGATGTTCTCGATGTGGAGGTAGCGGTCCCATTCCGGCTTTGACCTCACAGAACGGTAGAGAGAGAGAGAGAGGAAGCAAATGACTTGCTGCAGATGGGTGACATGACTTGTTTGAGACTTGTTTGATGGCCGAGGATTGCTGATGGGCGTCCACCACGTTGCCTGGCGAAAGCCTAGCAAGTTCCACACATCGAGGGAATGAAGCTGCCAGGGAGACGTGATGTGTGAGTGATTGTGTGCTGAGATCGAGATTTGCTGCTGCCAGAGCAGGGTTTGCTGGACATGATTGCAAAGCTGCGATCAGAGAGGCCATCGGTCAATTGGCGTCGATGGGACGCCCATGAAATTCAGGTGTTCTTGCAATTGGCTTCTCCAAGCCAGGCACCACCTGGACGTGATTGGAGATGCCCCTGTTGAGACTTGAATGAATGGGACTGGTGGAGCATCCTTGTACTTTAGACAAGCATGGCAGGCTTGTGAGAGACCTTTATATATGTGCTTTTCATTGCTTTTATGCTTCATGAATGTTGGATGCAAGAGAGGCAGAGTTTGTGAGAAGGCCAAGCCGTTGAATCATTTTAATCGTTACTAAGCTGTCAAGCGGAAGCATTTAAATTGATTGCGGGTGCTTTTAGATGGCCCTTGCTTTTGACAGCAGGGGGAGAGGAGCCTCACTCCTGTAAGGACGACACTGAGACCAGTGAGAAGCAGGAGGTCCCAGAGGGAAAGGTGTTGAGATTGCCAAAGTTGGGCCCTCGATTGCCGCGGGAGCCGCTGGAGCAGGCGCCGCGACGGAAAGCCTGCATTTCACTGTGAAGCACGGAGTGGGTACACTAAGACTCTAAGCAGGTATACCTGAAGAGTGGCACTTCCATGTGCCCTAGGCAGTTCTCTTTTTTGGGGGGCATGGATTGGTAATTGAGTTTAGTGTATGCTTTGCTGAAATCATAAAGTTGCAGTGTCAGGGGTCAATCGGTACAAACTACAGGTGACCTTAATGATGCCCTTTTGTAGTCGCCACATGCCGTGCATAAACGCTAACAATGCAATTGCACACGTGACCGGCACATGTGGACAAACAATATGAAGCCCTGGCCGCTCACGAAGCGGCAGCTTGTATGGGCTTTGGGCTGAAAAGGCTGGTGACCATGCGAACGCTGAGCGTTGATTCCGGCAAACTTCAGCCATGACCTGATCCTCTTCTCCGCAGGCTGCTCAACCGCATGCTGGTTCGCCTCACCGTGGGGCTGGCCCAGCTGACAGTGAGCCGGATGTTAGTTGAGTTGCGTGTGAAATGAACGCGCTGTTGAAATCAGCCACCTTGCATAAAGACTCATGACCAAGAGACTGATAGGCTTTGAAGCTTTTCGCCACTTACTGTAATTATTTTTTCATGGGTTAGGCTGATTTAGGTTGTTGATTGGAACTGTTCAATTTCTGCTGGTGCTCAGGTGGCATGCCTGATGAGGATGCATCTAGTCTGAAGAGATTCTGCTGTGATGCGAGTTGGATGACACAGATGGAAGGGATGCTTGGTTTTGGGTTCGCTGACGTTGTGGAAGTGCTTCAGGATGTGCCACCTCGTCTGCCGCGTGGAGGGTGCGCATCCATTTGCAGGTGTTAGTTATATTGACTGATGAGCTTGATTGGGCAGCTTTCAAGAACTCAGCAGTCATGTTTTGGCTCGTTGCCACGCCTGTTGCTACGGCTGCTACGGTGTTTTGGTCCCGTAGTAGCCAACTGAAGAATTCGGGTTGACTTTCATTTTGCAGCCAGGGATGTGCCACAACATTTGGACCCAACCAGGCAGCTTGCTTGATTTGGTTTCCGTGGCGATTGGCCCAGTTATCGTTTTCCGAATCAAGCAGGCCACTGACTACAGGCCACTTGCAGATAGCTTTTAAATGTATTAACGGGGCCATTGTCTTATACGGGGCAGCACACATTCTGTGGGGACTGTTGTGCAAAAGTTGTTGTTGTTGTTGGTCATAAACCTGCGGCAAACGTTTGCCCTGCTCGAGCTTGCTGTCAATTGCTTGTTGCGGCAAGCTACAGCTATGCTGAGCCGATTCTCAAACGGTCAGCGCTCGTGGCTTTTCCTTTGCCAGCATTGCTCACATGTCATGCATGTCATGTGCCCGCACAATATTCGTACCGTGTCCACACCTGTACCATTACCCCTCCACCCTAATGGCGATGGCCTCCAACCTATTCGCGATGGCCTCCAACCCACTAGCGATGGCCTCCGACCTACTAGCGATGGCCTCCAAGCGATGGCCTGTTTCTTGCATGTGGTGACTGAATGCCACATGGCACACACCACAGACCTGTGTTCCAAATAGAGTTGAGTGACCAGTGTAACATCACTTTCATGAATGGCAATGTGCAGTCAGTCCAAAGCTTCGCAGGCTGCAACATGCAAGGCCCACCGGGCCTGCTATCATGACATCATGGCACTGGCTGCCAGTGACTGACCTTGCTTTGTTTTTTTTCTTCTCTTTTTTCTGGTTTGTGTCTCCTGCAGTTCGTTCATGTTGAGTGGTTCTGTTAATTTGATTTGGGCTGGCGAACTCTATTGGAGCAAAGCACTGCGCCATGGACTCCAGGGCAACGCTGCCTTTTACACCACGACAGTTGCCACAGGCAGTGCGGGATGAGACACTCATGAGAACCCTTTTTGAATGTAGTATAATATTGGCCGTGGTTCCTGGCATTTCGGACATTCCCCTCCATTCTTCCATGAACGAGGTGGGCGAATTGGGCGAGCGCCCGCCGGACCATGAAGAGCGGCGTTGGATTGAAGCTGCGGTCGCTTGGTGGCTGTGTGGAGACATATGGCTGTGGGTCAGAACCTGGAGCCCCAAACCAGGGTACGTTGATCTCCCAAGTATGTCAGCCAGGGTGTCCCGGTTTTGACCATGTTTTGGTGCTCTCTTATTTTCCTGTTCTGGGAGGGAAGACCACCAAGTACTGCTGCAGCCTTTTTGTCGACCAGAGCCTTTCGCAGAGAGAGTTAAATCGGGGTGCCGTGAGTAAAGCGAAGCATGTATAGTGCCCACATACCCCAACCTCGTATCCCCCAAGCAAACAGCTGGAGGATATACAACTATATAATTGCATTCTATGCATTGAGCTCAGCAAGTGTTCATCAAGACATGGTGAGACGCTTCAGAATAGGTCAGGCAATGTGCAGGCCTTTGGAGTCGGTAATGGTTTCCAGCGAGATGCGTGATCACCACAGGCCCTAGGCCTTTGACGGCTTTTGTACTCTGCCTTGAAAATGGCCTTCCCACACTGCAGCTCCACGCTGCGAGAGCATGGCCTGCCCGAGCGTCGAGTGTCCAGGAGTTGTGAAAAGCGAGGTTTAGTCACCAAAACATTAAGCAGGCCAATGTGTTGTAGTGCTTCATTGCAACCTTGCTGCGACGGTGCTTGACGGCTTAGGCTTTACGTGCCAAAGTTTCGAGAAAAGCCAACCCTCATCGCAGCTGGTTGTGGGCCTTTTGTTCGGGAAATTGATGGCGCAGAGCTTCAGCAGGCTTATGTCAACCTTGAATCTTAGCTAGATTCAAGAGTCATGAGAGCATGGTTTCTGGAAGGCCCTATACGTCCTGGGGCGAGGGTAGGTGCAATGCAGGAGGACGTAGTATGGTGCGGTACGGTTCATGGGTGCGATGGGACAGTGCGGGGTGCAGTGCATAGGTGCGATGGGACAGTGCGGGGGTGCAGTGCATAGGTGCGATGGGACAGTGCGGGGGTGCAGTGCATAGGTGCGATGGGACAGTGCGGGGGTGCAGTGCATGGGTGCGATGGGAAAGTGCGGGGTGCAGTGCATAGGTGCAATGGGATGTGGGTGCGATGGGACAGTACGGGGTGCAGTGTGCATTGTGCATGGGTTTGAAGGGACAGTGCAGGGAGCAATAGTTCTTTGGTGTGGAGAGTGGAGTTTTGAAGGCTTGGGTGGTCATGCTCATAAGCCAAGAGAAACATATGCGAGTATTGAAAATGAAAATTATCTAACCTTTGTTTGGCTGTGGAGTGGAGAATGGAGAAGCAAAGTTGTCTTGCTCACAAACCAAGAGGGAAATGATACTAGAAACTAAATACAGGAGTCGCAAACTTGCAAAGGTACCTCTTTGTAAAAAAGTTGGGAAATCCTTCACTCTTCTTACTCACTCTCTTGTTACACTTGTTCTTAAGTTCTTTAACTCTCAAAATTTTGACCTGGGTTCAAGCTGGCAAACTACATAATAGGCACTGAATATTCAAAAGAATCAATTATTTCCAATTTAAGGTTACGGTAAATGAGTTCTAAGCGTACAGCGAAGGCAAAGACCGAATGCAAAGTCCGTGCTGACTGCAAGTATTTGCAGACCTATCCTATCCATGCAAAGCAACAGCTTCCTGACCAAATGCTCATTGTTCATGGTCAGGTATTGGGAGTTTTGGCTATATATCGGCAAATACTGTGTTTTTTTCAGTTTCAGTTGCCAAGAAATGCACACTTAAAGCTTCAGACTTGAGACTCACATTTGGCATTGCACCTACTGACAACTCGCCGGTCGCACGCTCGTTGACTTAGGGGGCACGGAGGGCAAATGCTGTTTGATTCTAGAGAATGGTACAGCGCAACCAGGAATACCTCAACTCAGCATATACTATGACATATGCTCTATGGCTGTATGTATATTATTGCGTTCACCCTTGATTCACTCATTCACTTTGACTTCCAATAGTCTTGTTGCTCACTTCCAATACAATTCGCAAACAATGCTACGCTGCTACAATTGTTACTTCTTACTGCTTCTATTTAACTTATTTGGGTGAATAACAAAGCTACTACAGTACAGTACAGAGCACATCTGATGAAGAGAATAGACCAATCAATCACCCATGACCGGCATGTGATGGCGGCAGCGTTGGGGCAGCTGTTGCAGTCGCTGAATGCCGATGAAGATGAACGTGCTGCGCAAAGGCCGCGGCAAAACCCCTCCAGATGCTTTCTGAATATGAGGTATGTGAGGAATTGCAGCTGGACTGATTCTAGCGCTAGTTTTCCCGGATTTCCCTTGACCTTTTTCTAGCGCTTCTGACTTGTCTGAGCCTGTAGCTGTTGATGAGGTAAATTACTACGCCGACAAGAAGATCGTATCCGGAAAGCAGACGATGCAAAGAGGTTCGGAGATACATTCTTGGTTGAGTCAGTTAGCGTAGTACAGGCTAGTGACTAGTGTAGTCAGACTCTAGTCTAGAGTCTAGAATCTAGAATCTGGAACCTATAGACTCATAGACTAGACTGATTGTAATGAGGTTGAAATTCGTCTCCATGCTGTACATGGGATTGTAACCAAATTGTTTTGTGTAATAGTAATGGTAGATTGAGCTTACATAACCTGTAACATCTTGTGACAGTAAGTGTAGCTTTGCGGTATTCAGCCATGTCATAAAGTACCTCCCTGTATGCAAACCAAAAAGGATTTGGGGAACAGTTTACAAGAGTAGCACACCTGTTGCAGGTCTGTGCTGAAGAGATTTGCTGTGCGCAAGTCCGATGGCAATGTGAAGGTGAAGGGGCGTGGTCGCTACAAAACGTGGACACCAGCCATGCTCTTGAAAAGCGCGCTGCATGACTGCAGTAGAGCTGAAATACTGTTGAACTAGAATGTTTGGTTCAATCAACCAGTTGACTTGAACCAACAGTAAGTCAATAGCTGAGTTGTGAGTCAGTCTATAGTATATATTTACTGTATACATGCACAGTGCCAGTGCAATCAACCCTCTCCTTCAATGACTTCTAAAACAAGAGTCACAATGCTTCTGTGTTTGTTTCCAAAGTATGTTAAAGTTCACTGCCACTGCACACGGGAAAACTTGGTTGTGTGTTCATTTGTTAACTTTCAACTTTCAACTCAGGCTTGGCAATCCCAGAGGATATTCTTCAACCAGAAAGAAGCTTTCGAAGATGCAATCAAAAATGCCGAGTTGCTTTTCATTGAATAGCCTTGCATACTGGATCCAGGGAGGAACAACGCACGTGGCTGCTGCCGCACGGCTTTGCAGAGAGAGAGATGATACTTGTTTATTTTGTCCTCTATGTTTTGTCGCTGTTACAGTCTAGTTTAGAGTCTAGAGTTCAGTAGTCTAATCAAGTCGGGATATAGTGTTCACGCTAATGTCAAGCCAGGTCAGAGGCGCCCTGGCAGAGCTCTTGACGCGTGGATTTGAGGACAAACTTGGTCGACTTCAACAAGACTCTTGGACTTCAACAAACTTGGACGCTTAGGATTGCCGTCAAATGCACTTCTGGAGATTCTGGAGTTTCGATTTTGGTTCTAGTTTGTGGATTCCTGATTTTGGTCAACTCACTTGGAGAATGACTTGTCATTTAAGTCTTGAATCTTGAATGTTCCAGCATCCAGAAACTAACTCTTCAAGGTTGAGGAAGCTGTCACAAGAATGTATGAGTCAATGACAATTCCGTTCCTGACACGAACCAGGAACACCCTCATGCAGTGGTCTTCTCCCTTGAAACTGATGCATCTTCCGTGCGGGCAAGACAGCGGCATGGGCTTCTGGAGTCTGACGGAACCTTTCATCTTTTTGTGCCTGGCTTGCTTTTGGTCCCTTTTGGTGACTGGTTACTAGTTGTTTTCTTCGTGAAAGCTACGCTACACTGCATGTAGTCTCATAGTCTGAGTGGTTGCTGTCATTGTCTGTGGAGTTTGATGAACCTTGACTTCAATCTAATCAATGTAATATTAACCTTCACTTCAACCAACGTTTAACGTTTAAGTCAAGGTACAGCGTGGTCACATATTTGTACAGCTGAAGTCTGACTCAAGGTTGATGCCACCTGCCTGCACTGTTTCGGAGTCAAAGCTGATAGCAACGAAACACTGTACCACTGGTGTCTAGAGTCTAGGTAGTTGCCTCTCTAGCAATATGTTGCAATCAAGCTGACTCATGACATCAAACTCATCAAACCGTTTGACAACTTTTAACTTTAACCTTTGTATCCTTTTGCCAACCCCAATTTTGCCAAACCCTGAGGCATTCTCCAATCCCAATTTGCCCAGCCATCATTGAATGCGAGACGGCAGAGTGCCTGTGGGAAGCGACTTGTCAAAGGCAACATGTGCCTCTGACTAGAGTCTTGGCTTACCTCAAGCAATGGTGAGGAATGAGTCATTTTGTGGAACATTGACAGATGAGCTATACCTAGAACCTCGAGCGAGAGAGAGAGAGGGAGAGTCAATAGTATTTACCGAGATAATTCACAATTTGTAATTGTAATATGAATCAATATATCTAACCAAGAAAGAGAAGGTTTGAAGTCTGTCTTTTTAAAGTGTCTAAGGTTGGCCCAGGTCTTGCAAACACTTTGTGTTCCGTTTGGTCAGTGACTCTGCGTCAGCCAATCTCAAGTTGTTTGAATCACATGTGCTACGCAATCGGCCAACAAATGGTTTAGCTCTACACAAGCTGTGCGATTTGCAGCCTGGATTTACATCGCGTCGTTTCAGAAGTTGACATGGTGCTTGTGTTGTACAGAGAAGCCTGCATTTGAGTGTGGTTCTTGTAATTTGATGTTTAGGTTTGTGGAGCTTGATTCCTTCTTCACTGAGGCATCAGCTGAACCACGCTGCTGAACCAACATACCGCGCCTTCAACCGCTTGTCTCAAATGCGACTTGCCTCAATGAATACATACAACAGGATCACAATAATATTAATATAACTATTTGACTCCAAGATGCATTGGAATCCGACTGGAATTTGGATTTTGTATGTCTGTTGAATGTTTGTTGG